ATAAAAACACATTATTTTATATTTTTTTTTGTAAGACATATATATATGTTATTATAAACCAAAAAATAATATAAAATAGTATATAAACTATTATTATTATTATATAAATAATGAAATATATTATTTTTTTATACATTTTAATATGCATAAATATTAAATAAATAAATAAAAATAAAAATAATATAAAAATAAGAATAAATGTGTGAGTATGACAGACCGCACATTATCAACTGAAACACTGCACATTAGTGTTATACATATTGCACATTAATGTGTGTGAAACTGCACATTAACGATCAAAACTGAAATAGCTATGATTTTTCTGTCTGAATTTATATATTTCGATTATTTTAAAAATTTAAGATATTATGACATTGATAATTTCAACTGAAATAAAGTTATTTCGATAATTTTAAAATTTATATATTTTGATTATTCCCATCAAAATTGAAAGAGTCGAGCTATATGAGAAATGTTATTATTATGATTTATATATTTTTATATGTATTGCGAATGCACATTATAGTTATACGGGTTGCACATTCACGACTATATGATTGCACAATATTAAAAATCATCCAATTAAAATATTCAAAGTTTATATTTCGGTTAGATTATTACTTTTATTAACTTTCTACTTATAACAACTCAGTAATGCACTTTACAAATCATTACATTGCACTTTATAAAACAACAAGTCGCACTTTATAAAATAACAAGATGCACTTTATCACGGCACTCCGCAATTCACGTCGATAACTCCCGCCAGAATACCGCACAATATAAATAAAAAAAGTAGATCTACATATTATTTTAATATCTATTACATCATTTGTCCATAATAAAACACAATCGTGATAACGTACAAAAATTATAGTAATCTGATTAATTGAAAAAAGAATCCAGATTAATATGGTAATCTGATTTATTTTTATTAATTTTTTAATGTGCACATATACGCACCCTATTGTGCAATTTATTTATAGTTATTGTGCAATACATTGTACATAATTCTATAATTGTTTAATTTTTATTAAATTATATATTTGATCAATCATTTAACATTAGCTATACTAAAATTATGAACACCGAATATGCATATCCATACACATATTCTTCAGTTTTTTTAACAAATATTCTACATTTATTATAATTTGAAATAAAAATGTATATTTATCCCATTAATTAAATTACATTATATCTACAGTTTTAAAAATTGCATTTTTCCCTAAAAAAGACCTAATTCTCACTAAATCACCCTTATCCTAAAAATCCCTAAAAATGCCTAAATCTGAGGCTGCTCGCACACAGTGCCCCCATCTTCAGCCCAATTGACTCTTCCTTTTGCCGGAGGCGATCGAATCCGCAGCCCGACCATGTCTGCGGAATTTGAATGGTGGAACAGTGTCGCCGGAGTGTTGCCGGAGGCGATGTAGAATCGCACATGGCCGTCGACGGCGAAGTGTTCTCATGTCTGTGTTTGTTCGTTCGCGGAGATGGCGGACCTGATCGGGGGTGAAGCAATTTCGGGCTGTGGCGGTGGTGACTAGACCGACGGCGGCGGTTCGGTGTTGGCGGTCGGAATCTGACAGGCTGCAAATGGTGTTGTTCGGCGGTGTCTGAAGCGGAGTGCGTACGGCAGGTGGCGGTGGTGTTCATTGGGCCGGCATGCGGCGGGTGACGGGCGGCTGACGGCGGACGGTGGACGGCGGTCTGTGTGTGCACGATGTGAGGAGTGTGTGTAAGTGTGTGTGAGAGAGAGAGTTAATGGGTTTGTTGGGTAGTGGATGGGTAGATGATTGACGGGTAAGTGATTTGGTTTGATGTTGGAGGTGGTGGGCCCTACATGTTTTGTGTTAATCAAATGTCTAAATTACCCTTATTTAGTGGTTAAATCTATATATTTGACCATCATATGTCTACGTATTTACTATATTGCCATTAATGATTGACCAATATTTGACTTAATGTTAGCCATTGACATGATATATCCATTGGTCCAGATTTATTCTCATTTCTTTCATTATCTACCATTCTCATGTGATCCCAACTCTATATATATATATATATGTGTGTGTATGAAATTGAAAATATTTCCTAAAACACCTAGAATAAAAAATTTCTAATTATGATTTATTTTTTGTGTAGTTTTCATATCTTTGTTTGTTTATGTTTCATTTTTTGTATATTATTAATTTTTAAAGTATTATTAAGTTTATTATTTAATTGCATATCTAGAATGAAATTAAATGTATTATTAAAAAATAAGATTAATCTGAAGTTATTCATACAATAAAATATAAAGGTATGTATAGTAAAGTTTATTTAGTATAATATAATATAAAATTGTAATTATCTCTCGTCTGTTCAAAAAACTAATGATAAAAAAAGCATAAAAATATTAGTGACTATTATTTCGAGGATCGAGTACAATGGATATTAAAATGATAAATTAACAGGTCATTTGTTGAATCTATATATATATATATATATATATATATAAAGATTTATTATTTACCAAATTTAGTAAAAAGAAAAGTCAAACAACATTAATAACTTTCTATTTTCAGCAATTTTCCAATTCTCTTTTTTATTCTTAGCCAAAAAAATCGGACTGCCATAAATGAATCCTACATTCATCCGTTCATTAATTTTCTTTTTAACTAATTGCTAGAAAATCCGTCACCATAAATGCATAGTTCCTTATCACTTTGTTTTGGAAAATATTGCATAGAAAATGTTTCTCATTTCAAATTTAAAATTTAAATTTTTTTATTCATTATTTAGTTGCCTTAAATCGGGCTGAACAAAAATTTTGAATTAGGCAAAATACAATAACATCTTTTTATATAAACCAAAATTAAATATATATTTATAATTTATAATTTTGTCAAATTCAAAATTCCGTCTCATTGTTATTAGACAAAATATGATGGCATCTAAAATCAAGTCTCATTTCAAATTTAAAATTTAATTTTTTTTATTCCTTATATATATATATATAATAAGAATTAACCTTTACCAAAAATAGTAGCAAAAAAATAGGTCAGAATTTAATGCAGCCTATAAATAGTATGTTTTATTATTTTTCTTATTTTTTTCTTTAAAAATCATACAACATTAAATGTTGTCTTAAATTTCGTACTTTAGTTCATTTTATTATTTAAAAAATCTGACTAAGATTTAATAAGTGTGTATGTTTTTTTTTCTTCTTAGAAACAACGAACAACATTAAAATCTCGGACTCCATATTTATAAAATCTCAATTCAAAATATAAAAAAAGTTTTAGAAACTCGGTCTTTATATTTGTGCCTTTAAAAAAATATTGAATGTTAAAAATATTCTTTAAATTGCATAATCAATCAATTAATCTTAATTTTTTAAAAATTACTATGTTTATTTTTTCTTAAATTGCATAAAGTAAAAATAATTAATTATATAATTTATAATCTTAATGTACTATCATTTGGTGTAGACATTTATTATATGGATCATAAAATATTTTGATTTCATAAAATTAAATATATTTATTGAAAATAAGAAAATTTCTTTGGATCAATCAGGTGATTGAATTAGGATACTACCCAGGTTGATTGAATTACTTTTAGGTGATATTTAAAATAGTCAAAAAAACTTGACACAACTTGGTTTGTCACAAGTGACTAAGTTATGTATCAGTTCGACCACATCAAATCGATTACTGAACCTAAATACAAAATTTATATTGAAAATATTTTATTACGTGAATGTGATGTAGTCCAAACTTTAAATAATCGTATTAACAATACTTTTATGACAACATGTTTAATGAATTATGAATATTTATATATCATTTTATTAATATTTATGTGAATTAAATAATATTTATTAATATACAGTAAATATAAAGTTTTCAGAACTGGACCGTCATCGAAATGATTAAGCTATTTTATTAAATCATTTGTGGTTTGGTCAGATTTTAATTTATAAATATTTTAATAGATATATATAGTACTTTTCGTAATAAATTTAAATAAAATGTGTTACTTAGATATTTAAACAGTTTATAAATTTAAATGTTTAAAGTAATTGATAAATAATTTATAAATCTCTATTTAATTTAAATATGTAATTTTATTTAAAATAATTTTAAATATAACAAAATTTATTTAGAAAATTATCTCAATCCTACCAGTCCAACCGACTGGTGTTGACGAATTCGAGAGCAAATATTTTATTCAAGCGAACTAGACTGGTTATAAACCGGTTCTCGGTCAATCCGGTCGGACGGCGTCCAACCCGGTTTAATTTAAAAATTCTTGATAAATCATGATTAATGTTATTTATATACTTAATTTATAATACAATCATCGTAGTGCTTTCCCGTGCATCGCACGGGCCACACACTAGTTGTTATTGTAACAACAAATTTTATTTCAGTATTTCAAGTTCCACTGGCGTGCTACATTTGTAACAACAAATTTTGTGAAAAACATAAATTTTTTGTAGAACTTGATGTTACTCGATCAAAAGATATTGCGGTACAATCTCTATCTATTCCCTCTGATTCTTCTCTTACTGAATTTGGATTTAAACTCATATCAATGAGTTATCATTTGATTTGATTTGTAGATCGTTTATACTCGTATCAAAGAGTCTTGATTTGGTAGACATTTTATACTCGTGTCAATGAGCATTCGAGTTTTATATACATTTATGCTCGTGTCAAGGAGCTTCTATTTGTGTTTATATACATTTTATGCTCGTGTCAAGGAGTTTTCATTTGTAGACATTTTATGTTCGTGTCAATGAACCTTATGATTTTGTAGACATTTTATGTTCGTATCAAAGACCATTATAGATGGTTTAACTTCATATCAAGAAGAATTTAAAGTTTCTAAAATACTTTAGGATCAAGGAATTGCATAAAAAATGAATAAAATTCAAGCATTAAATTAATAATTAAATTAATACAATTATAAAAAATTGGGTTTGAAATGGAATTTACCAACCAAAATCACTTCCGTCTCTTACTTAAAACAGAGATGTTGACGTGACTGTCGTCCTCGTCTACTGTTAAATTACTACAACCTTCCCGTCAATGGCGCACGTTGGTCAAAAGTTATAATAATCCATGGCGGAGCCTCGCCTTACCCTACACTCCTTCCCTCATAATCTGAGTGAAGCCAGCTACGGATGATCTGAGGCTTAATCATTTCACGCACGCGCGTACGAATCATTATCTGCTGTGCTCTCCAGAACTCGACAGCTTACATAATTTATATAATCTGAAGCTGAAGTATGAGGAATTCCCTTAATTCTATGCTTGCGGCCGTTCAATTTTCATTCACCGTGTTGTGGGTGCTGATTTCGCTCGTAGCTTGGGATTGACGCGCGGCGAAATCTGACCGTTGGTCTCCTTTGTGTCGGTACTCAAATTATTTGCAGATCTGAGTGGCTTTTGATTTGTCGGTGATGTCACAGCTCGATGAATTGCTGTTCAGAAAGGGTGAGTCATTTGAACTATCAGCGGTCAAGCAAGCCCGATTTTTGCTGCTTTTCGTGTTTATGGAGCTGCTAGGGGTGTCATTTTGGGGTTTAATTAAGATTTGCTCATCTCTTATAGTGACGCTTGAGTTCTTAAACATGTGGAATTATGGAAAAGGAAAAATGTGATTGCAGAATTCTTGCTCTATATTTAGATTTTCTACTCCGTATACTTACATTGGCATTTGAATTTATTTTTGGTAAAATCATGGCACCGAGTACAGTCCTGATCCCTTTAGTAGAAAATGTGAGTTATGGCTTTACTCTAACAGGTGATAATTTCAATATTATGAAATTCTCCCTCTATTGTCCTGCCAGATCTTTTGGGAATTTGCTGTATGATCGCTATTCAAGATTAAAATGGTGTTTTTGGAAACCTTGTTGGTTTTTTGCATAGTCTTTCGTACAATTAAGCTGATCATTATGTCCTGTGTTTGCAATGTGATTCGCAGGGCTGCTAAGAATGGCCCATTGGGGGTTCATGAAACATTTGTTTCTTGTATGCTCTTTACTATCCTTTGTGGATGCTAATTTACGGGACAAAATGTTGAAAAGAGAAGCTCTGTCTCAGTCTACTGTTCTTGTGGACGTGGCTTCTATGCTTGAGCTGCCATCAATGGTGAATTTACATTCTCATAAACGTCATCTACTTCGTGATCGTGCTCCTGCTCATTCTCCTAATAATTATGGTCGCTTTGTGATTTCCACTCCCCCTTCAAGCTCTCGTATGTCCAAATCTTTCATTAAAAGGAGTGATTTAGTTCCAGCTAGTGCCAGCCTTCCATCACCTTCACATCTTTCAGAGACTGCACCAGTCCAATCCAAGCCTCATACTATACCTGCTGGTTTAGCTCAGCCGCCACTGTCCTCGGGCATCTCTAGTGAGATTGGAATTCTATTTTCATAAGTCAATATTTTCCTAATCTTGTTTTTCTATTACCGTTTTCTTAATGTGGGTTATTGTTGATGTTTTGGCAGATTGTTGTGCACCAAACATGGTGCTCAAACGTGGGAGCCATGGCTGTCACTGTGCATATCCAATAAGGCTTGAGATTCTGCTTCTGAATGTCTCTTCTAATCCGAACTGGAATCATTTTCTGGACCAATTTGCTTCCAAGCTGCATTTGCAAGTGTCACAGATTGAACTCATTAACTTTTATATGGTCAATATATCTGGACTTAATATATCAATGGACATTACTCCACATACGGGTATAAGTTTTTCTTCCAGTGAAGTTGCCATGATAAACTCTTCCCTGTCGATGCGCAAGGTCTATCTGGATCCTGCTTTAGTGGGTGACTACAAGCTTCTCAACATAACCTGGTTTAGACCACCAGCACTGCCTCAAGGTAATCTTCATGTTTCTGGTTATATGGAGTATAGTTTGTTGTCTATTCATTGTTTGGTATTCTTGTAGTGAGTAATTGGAGACATGTGTTTGGCAGTTCAGAATCATAGATGAGATTCATGAGAAATGTTATTTCTTTTTCTTCTTACCCCCTTCTCTATCTAGTATATTGTTCGAGGAAACATTATTCTAAGCAAACTATGTTAACTGAATGTAAAATTTGCTGACACTTGATGTTGAATGAATAAATCTTTCCGATAGTTTCTGACCATGAATGCAGTCATGAGTTGCACTGCTTTTCTTTACTTTTCTCCTCTCCATTCTGTTGAAAATTGTGGTTGCCTAGGCTGCCTGTTTAGGCAAGCCACTCACATTAATGTTAAAAGTTTGTCACCTGTATCAAATTTTATGCATACTTCTCTTTTATATTAATGTGCTATTCCGTTTTTCTACGCAGTAATCATTAACGGCTACCTTTTTTGCTACACTATTTCACATTCTTAACATCCCTTTCACTTTAATATTTTTATTAGCATGTTTGGAAGGAATTAATCTATAACTATCGTTCTTTTCTTTCATACAGCTCCATCATCTGCTAAATCTCCAGCAGAAAAACCGCCAAGTTTTCCATCTACTTCTTCTGGAGCATCTGTGACTTCAAAAAAAGTCCGGCGGCCAAGTATAGTTATTGTCATTGGACTTGGAGCCTTGATCGTGCTAGTTGTTGTCATGTCTGTGGTTATAATTTGTTTCTGTGTATCTCGTCGTGGGAAGCATTCTGAACCTTTCAAGGAAACTGGTATGTAAGGTGTTGCATTGACAATGTCTCTTAAGTTTATTTCCTTCTACTTTTTCATGCCTTGAATATTAGTAACAGAATGTGCCTTCTTATGGCATGATGACATGTCTTCTGGGATTATCCAAATATTTTACTATCTCATTCTGCTGCTATCCTTAGATAATTTTCTCTATTGTACTCAGCATATTTTGACTTGAGCTTTCATTTTGGAATTTCACTTAATTTTCTTTTCGTTTAATAGCCAAACAGAGGAGTGTGGAGACAAATCCAGCAGTAGGGTCTCTTCGCCATCCATCCAGTACAAGATTCCTCACATATGACGAACTAAAAGAGGCTACAAACAATTTTGAGCCGACTAGTGTTCTTGGAGAGGGTGGCTTTGGGAGAGTATTCAAGGGTGTCCTAAGTGATGGAACTGCTGTTGCTATAAAAAGGCTTAGCAGTGGAGGACAACAAGGGGATAAAGAATTTTTGGTTGAGGTTGAGATGCTAAGTAGGTTGCATCACAGGAACCTGGTGAAACTTGTTGGATACTTTAGTAATCGTGACTCCTCACAGAACCTTCTCTGTTACGAGCTTGTTCCAAATGGAAGTTTGGAATCTTGGCTCCATGGTAAATGGCCGATGAATATTCTTACATTTTTCCGAATTCCTGAAATTAAATAATTTTTTTTGTAAGATGAAAGATTGTCACCTCTGTAATGGTTATATTATACTTCAGGGCCCTTGGGACTAAACTGCCCACTTGACTGGGACACCAGAATGAAAATTGCTCTAGATGCTGCACGTGGGCTCGCATACTTGCACGAGGACTCTCAACCTTGTGTCATTCATAGGGATTTCAAGGCATCAAATATATTGCTCGAGAACAACTTTCATGCTAAAGTTTCTGATTTTGGCCTTGCTAAGCAGGCCCCTGAAGGCAGGACAAATTATCTCTCCACCCGGGTTATGGGAACTTTCGGGTTAGTTCCAACTGTAGTTTTCCAATTTTACTTTGCTAAACGTTGAAGCCCAAATACTTTCTTATCTTAATCTTTTCAACTCTTGGGATTGATTCGAAACCTTATACAGATATGTTGCCCCTGAGTATGCCATGACTGGGCACCTGTTGGTGAAGAGTGATGTTTACAGCTATGGAGTGGTTCTTCTCGAGTTGTTGACAGGAAGAAAGCCAGTAGACATGTCACAACCATCAGGCCAAGAGAACCTTGTTACATGGGTTTGTTTTATTCCCATATCTTACTCGTTCTTTGTTCTTGTAGTTTCGAGTATTCATGTAGGCACTTATTTTTATTGGTTATTGATATGCAAGTGGACTCGGTATTTTCCAATTTATAGGTTGGGGTAGCAATTCATATTCCATATTACTAGTACGTGGCCCGTGCGATGCACGGGAAAATAATATTTTGATTGTATTATAAATTAAATAAATAAATAACATTAATCATGATTTACCCATTATTTATAAATTAAACCGGGTTGGACGCAGTCCAACCGGATGGACCGAGAACCGGTTTATAACCGATTTACTGCGCTTGAATAAAATATTTACTATCGAATCCGCCAACACCAGTATGTTGGACTGGTAAGATCGATACGATTTTCTAAACAAATTTTGTTACATGAAAAATTATTTTAAATAAAATTACATATTTAAATAAAATACAGATTTATAAATTGTTTATCAATTAGTTTAAACATTTGAATTTATAAATTGTTTAGATATTTAAGTAACACTTTTTATTTAAATTTATTACAAAAAGTACTATATATATATATATATATGTATATATTAAAGTATTATGTATTAAAATCTGAACAACCACAAGATGGTCCGATTCTGAAAACCTTATATTTACCGTACATTAATAAAAATGATAATGAAATAAATATTTTGTTCACATAAATAATAATAAAATGATATATAAATATTCATAAATCATTATTCATGTTGTCATAAAAGTATTGTTAATATGATTATTTGAAGTTTGGACTACATCACATTCACGTAATAAAGTATTTTCAATATTAAAATTTATATTTAGGTTCAATAATCAATTTGGTCTGGTCAAACTGATACATAACTTAGTTACCTCGGACCAACCAAGTTGTGTCAAGTTTTTTGACTATTTTAAATATCACCTAAAGTAATTCAATCAAAGTGGGCAGTACCCTAATTCAATCACCCGATTGATCCAAAGTAATTTCCTTATTTTCTTTAAATATAATATTTAATTTTATGAAATAAAAATATTTTATGATTCATATGTCTACACCAAATGATAGTATATTAAGATTATAAATTATATATCTAAAGATGAACTATTTATTTTTATTTTATGCATATTAATAAAAAATAAACATAGTAATTTTAAAAAAATTAAGATTAATTGATTGGGTATGCAATTTAAAAAATATTTTTAGCGTTCAACATATATATATATATATATATATATTTAACATGATTGAATTTTTGGATTAGAATATATATATTTAAAATAATTTTATTACTAAAAGTTAAAAATAAAAGATGCCATATACAATTTTAAAAAGTTTGTAACCATTAATTTAGGAACCCTCCAATTTTAAATGATTTATAATTTTTGAAACATGATACGTGCATTTAAAACTCATTAATTTAGGAACCATCCAATTTCCTGAGAATGAATTAAAATTAAAATGTAAAATGTAAAAGTTACTAAAAATAGTATATAATAATGTGATTGACTTTTCCTTACTACTATTTATGGTAAATGTTAATTCTTATTATATATATATAGATTCAAGTCCTTTTTTTTTTTAAGTTCATACACTTGGAGTTGTCAACTTATTCATTGCACTGTATCTCAAACAGAAAGACCATTATAAGTTTAACTAAATTCTAGAATCACATATTGTCTACCCCTATGAAAACACTATTGTTTCTCAATTAGAAATCATGACATGTTCAAGAAAGTAAATTTTATTTTATTATTATTATTATTATTATTATTATTATTATTATTATTATTATTATTATTATTATTATTTATTTATTTATTTATTTATTTTTGTATGTATTGTTGCAGGCTAGGCCGATACTACGAGAAAAGGACCGATTGGAAGAACTAGCCGACCCAAGGCTGGATGGGAAGTATCCAAAGGAAGACTTTTTTCGGGTTTGCACGATTGCAGCAGCTTGTGTGGCCCCAGATGCCAACCAACGGCCAACTATGGGAGAAGTTGTTCAGTCGCTCAAAATGGTGCAACGCACCACAGAGTATCAAGACCCCAATGTACCTTCCAACTCTGCACCCAACAACCTTAGGCAGTCATCCACGACCTTCGAGTCTGACAGAACATCATCAATTTTTTCTTCCGGTCCATACTCAGGTTTTAGTGCGTTAGATAATGAAAACATTTCTAGGACGGTTGTATTTTCGGAGGATCTTCATGAGGGAAGATGAGTCTCGTTTTCCTTTTGTGGAATGTTTCTTTTAATTAAAATAGCTTTAGATTGTGCAGTCCTTTTGTATCTTTGAGATGGAATCCTTGAATCTATCAAGGGTTAAGGAGGAAAGGGAAAAAGTAAAAGAAATAGAGAAAAGACTGCGAGTAAGCATGACCAAGAATGTCTGCATCTCTTAATTGTGAGAGTAATTGTGATGTTGTTGTACATCCCATGTAGAAAAGGGGTTTGCGAAAGTTTCCAGTGTGGACTGTGGTGTTCGTTCTCTGCATGAAGAGATGTGCATAACTCTGATTAACTATCTCTTAATTTGGCTGGCATTCTGGTTTGTTCATCTGTTAGATGCCAAACATTTTACGAAATAGTTTCTCTATTATGTTTAGCGCTTCATCTTGTATTACGGCAGGTTCAGTGCATGCCTCGTACAAACTAAAACAAGCTTTTGTGTATATGGCATGACACAATTAACTATAAGTTTGACGAATTTAGATCCAAATTGGGGACAAAATTCTCCATTTTTGTGTTGTGCTAGTAATCTTCATGTTCATATGCACAAATGTAAATAAATATTATAAATTATATTTATAAATATAATATTCAATTATAAATTAAATAATGGACATATTACATTTTTTAAAAATAGTATAAATATAAATTATTTAAGTATATATGAATCACCAAAAAATTTTAGGATAATGTAATATTTGAGTTTGAGGGATCATAGCAAATTGATTTAGTTAAATTATTATAATTATTAATATTATTATTGTTTATAAGATTTTAAGGTGGTTTGACTATGCTATTAAACTATTAGAGCATGATTGGATATAAAAAGTTTTTGTTTTGATTGGATTTTTGGTTCGGGTTGGTTAAATTTGAAAAAGTTGGTATGGTTAGTTGTTAGTGGATATAATAAAATAATATTTAAAATAAAATGATTAAAATTAAATTGATATAAAAGTAGGAGAGAGAAGATGTGATGTGATGGTTAGTTAAAATTATGTGAGTTGATGAATAGTGAATTAAAGTTGATGTTGTGTGTAAGAATGATTGATTGATATTATTTAATTATATTGATAATATTGATGATAGTGGAGTTGAGTTAAAGTTGAGTTAAAAAAAAATGATTGAGTTAAAAATGATTGGAATTTTTTTTGTTGGATTTATATCCAATCATGCTTTAGCTATTTTTTTTTTAAGAAAATCATATCGTTTTTTTAAGGTGGATTTACCAACCTTGAGGTGGGAAGATCTGATTTCCACTCTATCTAACGCTTTTGCTCGTTACCAACTCGGCAGGTTAGAGCCTTAAGTGATGGGGGAGGAGGTGGCGGTTCTGGTAGCGGTGACTCTTTCTGCTTCCTGTTCTACTTTCCTAAGACAAGTAGAAGAAAGTACGAGAGGGGGATAAAGTCTGCTGGTATCATATAAAAGATCACTCCTAAAAGCAGGCGGAATCCACTATATACCCACTCGATTTACTCTTTATTCTCATATGGATTATACCTCCTCATTCTTATGAACATATGTTGGGTGATGATGTTCTCGGCATCTATCTCTTCTTGTTCCAAGTGCTTTTCATCATTGGTCTGATGCTTTGGTGAAGCCAAAGGAAAGAAGATGAACAGAAGGTAAGCCTCGCAGGAGAATTCGTTCAAACTGGGAAGAAGGCTTGCTTTTCGTTGATCTCTTATTGGTGAAGTTGAACAAACTCCCCCCAATGCTAAAGTCAACCAACCCATCTTGCAAGATTTCTTGGTAGTAAAGCGCTAACGCGCTAGAACTAGCATAGCAGCCTGCAGAAAAAGGCTCTATCCTACTCCTAAGTTGGATTGTTTTTTCGTAGGCGGAGATCAACATTTAGCCCTCACTGTAAGATATGCACCTCGTCTGCGATTTCAATCTGTGGCTGGAGAAAGATATAGACTTCATCCGTGATGGGACAGATTACTTTTTCTTCGAAAAAAGTGCTTGGTCAACGCTCGCCTCCGTAATAGAGATGAATGGTACACCAGTTCGGAAAGCGGCTCTGTTACAGTGGTTCGTCATTTGGAAGCAAAAGACCTATCGGTGATACGAAAGCCTACCTCGCGATGAAAGACTCAATTCCCGAATGGGAAAACTGTGTGAGAACCGAGAAACTTTAGGTGGGGCTCCTTGTGGAATGATGAAACCGTGGTCGTTCCCGTATCATCGAATTGGCATAATTATACTTAATTAAAATAATTATTATAACGATTTTCTACCATAAGTAACTAAAAAATGGGCGGGAGATGTTACTAATTGAAACCGAATAAAATCTATATATATATATATATATATATATATATAATTACTAGCTAATAGCATTTAAGAAAACTAAATTAATAAAACCTCTAAAATTTTCTCTCCATTTTTGATTACAAAATTTATCATTAATGTTTTTTACTTCTCACATTAATACATCCTATTGAGTGTAATCATGTATTTTTCTATTGTATTATATAATAATTAATGCTAATACCAACTAATAATAATTCACAATAAATATAAATTGCATAATTATAAACAATTATTTCAAGTTATTTATTTTAACATAAGTGTTATTTTTTACTTTTGTATCTCATGAAAAAGTTTCTTTAAAAACAATTAGTAAATTGTTTTAATAGCATAGTCAAACAACTTTAGAATTTTATAAACAATTATTTTTGTAATAATAATAATAATAATAATAATAATAATAATAATAATAATAATAATAATCAACTGCTATTATCTAATGATAATAAATAATTATTCGTAATAATAAACAATCATTAATATATTTTTCCTAATGATTAAATTTATAAAATATAATATGTTCATTATCTAAAATTTTAATATTAAATTCTCAAATATTACTTATAATATTTTATGTACATCTGTGCATGTGTGCACAGGATATTTACTAGTAAAAGAAAAAAATCAGATTAATGATGAAAATTTTGTAACTGCTTTTGGCGGGAAACCAAAGACATTTTTATTAATTGTTATGCCAACAATTATATATATATATATATATAGTAGAATCATATGAGAAAGAGGGATAGTGAAAGAAATAGGAATGAATCTTAGCCCTTGAATGTGATATATCAACGCTCTAGACACGGTGAAAGGGTCCAACTTTAATCAAACGCACGGTGGCATTCCTGTAAATAAGTGAAATTTTGATTTTTCACGCAGGGACATTTTAGTCATTGTGCAAAATGCACTGTTGTCCTAAGGGCAACGTCATATGTACTAATGTGAAATTTGCTAACAATATGGTGCAGTCTGTATAGTGATAACTGTGAGGTGCAATTCTGAACGGTGCAATGCATTGTACATTAATGTGCAATTATATTTCTTGATGATATGTTTAGTTATTGTTTTAATATATAAAAATTAATATTTTTTTATAAATTACATATTTGGCCCTTGGACTTAATTGAAATATAACAAAAATTTTTGAAATTGCAAATAGATCCCTAGAGATTATCAAATTTTCAAAAAAAAAAGGGCCCAAACTCCCAAACTTCAATCTTGCCTGCCCGGCATATTAGCCTTTCCCTGCTGCCGCGATGAACCGCTCAACTGTTCTCAGCTCTCCAATGCCTCAAAAATATTGGTTATTAGTTTCTCCAATTTTCCTTGTACGTAGAGCGATTACTGATTACTGATAGTCATGAGTGACCTACTGTGCTAAGAGCTCTTTTTTTTCCACAATAACCCTCGTAACTTGCTTATGAGACTATTAAAACTCCAATACCCACATAATTTGCTGAGTAATAAGTGCATGATGTATTATGCATTTTGTATGAATGCTCTCTGTTGCTTTGATAATAAGTGAATGACGGAAGCAGACGCAGCGCGGTGTGGGGTATAGATGAGGAGAGAGAAATGGGTTGGGGTGCTTTGGGTGGGAAACGTGTGATATGGGATATTATACATATTAGACTGGTCCGCTGGGTCAATGGGATGAATCGAATCAATCGGTTTGGTCGAGCAGAATACCCGCTGAACGATAAGGTCAGAAGTAAAAGCTACGCGGACGAAGGCTCACCTGGCAAAGTACCCACTTTATTCGAAGCACCAGGTGGTCGAATACGAATGGTCGTGAGATCGACCATCCTTTACCTCAAGGGCAGTCCAACGGCCTGCCCAGATCTGGTCGAACATCAGAGCCTCCAGGGGAATCTTCAGTACGTGCGCAGAGGACACGTGGCGAATGCTAATTGGTCTATACTAGTAATGGTCTCTGACACATTCTGAGACATTCCTGACGCAGAGATAGTGGAGACAGTGGATCGCACGACCGGGCAACTGGGGCAGCCAGCTCAGTTGATCCAGGCAGCTCCTAGGGCAGGTAATTCACCCCTATATATAGGGGTGGAGTCTCTCATTTTAGCTACAATCTCATAAAAACTTAAATACTTTATCACATACGTTTTCATTCTCTCAAGACTGACTTGAGCCTTGGAGGCTCTTCACCGAAAATCTCCCCGGTGTGAGAGTTTCGTGCAGGTTCCGGCGTCCTATCGACGAGGGGAGAAGATCGAGGCGGTTCTCAGTCGGTTGGGGCGTTACACTTGCATTATTGGCGCCGTCTATGGGGACCCTGTTCGAAAATTTTACTCTGATTTTCAGTATTCAAAGACTAGTAGGGTAGGGTGTTACAACTTTATACCATATATTGATTAATTTATTTCCTACAGAAATAACCATCAATACCAAAAATAAATTCGTCCACTTTATACCATATATTAATTAATTCACATGATTTGAGTAATTAAGGTATCTTAAAATATGACTTAATTACTTTTTTAAATAATAAGCTGCAATTTCCATAAGTTATCATTTGATATATACCATAAATTGTTAAATTAATTTCTTGAAATAGTAAGTAGATTTTTTTGGAGAAAAATAGTTACTATTTAAAAAATAATCAAACCTTTTAATATATATAGATTTATTTGAAAATATCTGATTGCATACAACATGTATCATTTTGAATTTCAAATCTAAATTATAAAATTACTTATCATTAGGTAACCATAAAATAAAATCTATTATCTATTAAATCTGATTTTTTGGGTACTTTATTTATTAAAAAAAAAAATCAAGTGGACAAAAATAAAAATAAAAAAGGTGTGGACAAAAATAAAAAGGTCGTATTTTCGGAATACGTTTTCCTAAGAATTTTTTTTAAGAAAACGTATTTCTGTAATACGTTTTAAAATTATTTTTGTAAAATTTTATAAATAAATTATTTTCGTTAAAAGAGACGAATTGAATAAGAAATAATAATTATAAAATGTATTATGGGAATACGTTGTTGAAAAACGTATTTTAAAAATACGCTTTCTATTCTATAATTTAATTTTAAAAAGAAAAAAAAATCTATTAAAAGTATTATATTAATACGTTGTTCAAAACACTAAAATTGATTTTTTAGGGTTTTCAAAAACATATTTTTTAAATACGCTTTCTATAATTTAATTTTTACAAAAAAAGAAAATTTATTAAACCGTATTTTCAGAATGCAATTTCTTTAAAA